TACATTTGCAAGTGGTTTTGGACAGTCAGATGAAAAACTTTATAGCTTTGAGCAAGATGTTTTGTACAGGACTATTATGTAAATGCATAATACTGGTGTCAATTGTTTCTGCATTTTATTTTTTAAAGAACTTCCACTTTAGAGTAATTGAGCTGGATTAATTTACTGGAAGAAGCCTTTGGTGTAGCGTTAAGGACCAGGATGATTTAATTAACTGGAGTGTCTTTTATTTAAATATCTTTTGTGAGATAGCTTATTGTTAAAAACAGAGCCACGCTTCCACTTCAAATTCATATTCACCTAAATTCACATTTAATGTAGTTACTGTGGCCCCGCGGCTGCATGTGTTTTTATTCAGCATTGGAAGTTACTGATACTATGTTCGTGCAAATGTATAGCAGTTTGTCTGTAAAACGGATATCAAGAGGGAGATTTGATCCTGCAGTATCAATATCCTGGTCAAGTAATTCATGTAAATATTTCTCTGCAATATGGGAGTTCTGAACAGTTCCTGTTTTATATTTTTATTTTTAAAGGTCAGATGAAGATTGGCCACAAATGCACTCCGATTCTGCTGTCTCAATAATATTTTAGAGTAAGTATTGTAGAGTTATTAACCTAAATCAGACAACCAAAGGAGGGGGAGGGGTGAGAGGAAAAGAGTTTGACTTTCTCCACCACAGTTAGATTGTGGTGTCAGTTAACTGAGTGTAACGATAGAATAAACACACAAATATACAGAGGTTGTTAGCTTTTTTATCTCCCCTCGTCTGCTTGTTAGAAACGGCAGCCATTTTGTCCCTGTTTGAATGCATTTTCCAGGCGTGCAGACTCTGTGTGAATGTGTGTGTGAGTGAATGGGACAAAAACACTGTGAATGTTGTGGTGAGTGTGTTCTCTACACTATACTTGATTTTAGAACTTGTGCCAGTTTGTCCAAATATTTGCTCTAATTAGCCTTTTAATTGTAGTAATTTGTTTTCATGGCTTGCACTAGTTTCAATTTTTATTTTTTATTTTTTTAGTGTGTGTGTGTGTGTGTGGGCTTGTTAATTGATTTTGGTGTGTTTGAGAAATACGAGGCATTGTTTGCCAAATCTTGGCTCTGTCATTGCTCACAATTAGCATTTTTGCCTATGCCAAACTAACTTCACACACTGATCCAAAGCCTATTGAGCAGGCCTCGCTGTCTACTGCATAGGCAGATACCTTCTAAGACAGCATCCTAAATGAATTGAAGCATGACATTTTGAAAGACTCCACGTTAGTAATAGCAACAACTCTGCAAGTCACAGAAATTGCACTGCTCAATAGAGTGCAACAGTTCCCACCCACATTTTTAGTTGTCTTTGTTCTGGAAGTATTTTTCCCATAGGGATTTAAAAAAAAAAGTATTTGTGTAACAGCTATAAGCCATGAACCAAACCAGCCAGCTATACAAGATGAATCACAACATTATATACTTTGATTTGAAGCAAAGTATTTGAAATTCGGACTAAAAGTCAAAGATACAAGACTGTGTACTGAACGGCTTTAATGACGGGAAAGAACTACAATCCCAAAACATTGCAAACTACATACCCAAAATGAAAACGATAGATACATATAAAACAGTTGATTTAAAGATGTTGATTATGTAATGAAATT